TCTGAATGTTTTATCTAACATGCTGTGTGCTTTCCAATGTTTAAAGGACTTTCCTTCCACACCATGTCAGACAGAAATTACAGCAGAGTGACTGAATTCATACTGACTGGATTCCCTGGACTTCATCCAGAGTACTATGGTCTGGTTTCAGCTGTTTTATTTTTTGTGTATTTGATGACTGTGTTGGAAAATATTGTTGTTTTATTCCTGTTTGCAACTAACCGAAGTCTCCATAAGCCAGTGTATTATATATTTTTAAATGTATCAGTTTGTGACCTTCTTTTCAGCACAACAACTTTACCTAAAATCATATCAAGATATTGGTTTAAATCAGGAACTATTTCATTTACTGGTTGTTTTGTCCAAATGTTTTTTGTTCATTTTCTTGGCAGCGCGAACTCCTTCATGTTTTTTCTCATGGCATTTGACAGATATTGTGCCATTTGTCATCCTCTCAAATATACTATTATTTTAAAAAATGTCAATGTCCACATTCTCAGTATGACTGCATGGATAACTGCCACTGTACCACCTATAATTTTTGTCATTAGAGCATACCCTCTTCCTTATTGTGGTTCAAATGTAATTAATCATGGTTTCTGTGATCATGTTGGTATAACAGTTCTGGCCTGCACTGACAGAACCCCATATGCTGTACCAGCTTTTATCAGTGCAATGATTATTCTCCTTGTACCTCTAGCATTCATAGTTTTCTCTTATTGCTCTATACTTATTGAGGTTAGCAAAGTAGCAGGTATCAAAAATCGTCTAAAATCTTTCTCAACATGTAGTACTCAGCTGATAATAATCTCACTATATTATTTACCTAGATGTTTTGTATATTTAGCCAGCGTTGTTGGGATTAGTTTCAGTGTTGCTGTGCGAGTTGTAATTATTATGCTTTATAGCCTTGGTCCTCCAATGGTCAATCCACTAATTTACTGTCTGAGAGCTAAAGACATAAGAGAATGTTTGTGGAAGCAGTTTCATATAACTGTACCACCGAAAGCACAAGTTTCAGCCATCAGTACTCGATAAAACATATTTGTTTAACAATGATTAGTTTTAATTTTAAAAAATGTGTTTCTTTTAATGCAAATATTCAACATGGGAAATAAAATATAAAAATGTCTACATGAGAAAACAACGTGCTGCACAGTGATGTTGTGAATAACACTGTCACTGTCAATGTTAGAAGCCCTCAGGCTTAAATCAGTGTATGTATGTGTCATTGTCATGTCAAGAAGACAGTGGAATTACAAAACATTTGTTTGACAGCAGAGACGTATTTACTTTATGAATGTGCATATAGATTGAATAGATTTTGTTTAACACACCTAAAATCCCAAAATAAATTTGAAAATGCATTCTGGCTTTGTTTGGATTATTTTCCTCTTCTTCTTCCTCTTCTTCTTCTTCTTATTATTTTTTTTTTCCTAACCTTTAAAGAATTGTAATGGTTTTATTTGGAAGGCTCCTAAAAAATGCTTGGAATGGATAACTTAGAGAAATAAATGCATACAAATTCCAGTAGTTTCTCCCAAACAGTCAATTTGCTCCTCCAGTCAAAATAAAATGCTTATTAGAAAAGTAGAGTGTGTTAACTTTAGTCACTTGTGTGTGCATGCATGATTGTTTGTCACACATTTCTCTGTGCTGGCCCCCATCACCCAGTGTTTCCAGTCCCCCACATTGAGAAACCGAACAACATAAAGTGGGTACAGAAAATGAATGAAATGGGATGTTTGTTTTTTGCCTATTGAAATAAAGTTGTATGTACTTCATAAAACAAACAAAAAACTATCACTACAAACTGAAGTAATTTATATATACTGTAAATGTTCTTTTTCCAGATCTTTTTATTTTTTGTTGAAAATGTCTGGTTTTTCTTAAAAAATATTGAAATATTATATAAATGAAGAAAAAAGATGAAGACCATGAGGAGGGAAATTTGACAGGAGACAGAGGGTGAAGAGGAAAGTCAAGAATGTTGAACTGAAGGTTGCAACTCTGAATAGACGTAGGGATGAAAGGCAAAGGTAGAGAGCTGGTTGACATGATGCAGAGAAGGAAGGTAATTGTATCATGTGTGCAAGAGATATCCAGAAGGGCATCAAGGCTCACAACATTGGGGTAGGGTTTAAGCTATTTTACCGTGGTGTGGATAGAAAAAAAAATGTATAAAAACAGGTCTTAAGGAAGGAATTGCAAAGGATGCAGTAAACGTGAAAAGAGTATCAGATTGTGTAATGTGTCTGAAGGCAGAAATAGAAGGTCTGATGCTAAATGTTGTCAGTAGTTGCTCCACAGTTGGATTTGAGGTTGAGGAAAAAGAGAAATTCTGGAAAGATCTAAACAAAGTGATAAACAATATTCCCAGGGAGGAGAGAGAGGTGATCGGAACAGACCTGAATGGCATGTTGGGGACAAGGAAGTGATGGGTACGTTTGGTGTCAAAGAATGGAATCAAGATGGATGGTAGATTTTGCCAAGAGAATGGAAATGGCTGTAGTCAACATCTATTTCCAAAAGATTGAGGAACAAAGGGTGACCAATAAGGGTGGAGGCAGAAGTACCTAGGTAGACTACATTCTGCTTAGAAGAGGAAACCTGAGGTAAATAAGGGATGTTTGGTGTACTGTAGGTACGGTTGTGGCAGTGGAGTGTGGCCAGACATCACTGAATAGTGATGAGTATGCTGTCTGTTGTGGTGAAGAAGAGGAAAGGAGCGAAACCAGACCAGAAACCAAACTGTGGAGTTTGAAAAAGGAAGAATATTGTGAGGAGTTCAGAGAGGAGCTGGAAAGGAATGAAGAGAACAGACAGGAATATAAGGAGGTTCAACATAGTCCAAAGAGAGAGGTAGCAAAGAATAAACAGAAGACATATGATAAGTTAGACAAGAGGCAGGACATAAAGGAAGGAGACAAAATATTTGTATCCTATGGCAAGATGAATCAGGCTGGAAAGGATATGCAGAAGCTTAGGCTTTTCAAAGATTGAAATGGTAATCTTCTAACAAATGAAGAAAGCATGATGGTAAGATGGAAGAAGTATTTTGAGGAGTGATTGAATTAGAATGGAAGGGACAGAAGAATAGAGGTTATAGCTGTGGACCAGACAGTGGAGAGATTTGTGAGGATGAATGCATGGAGCTGTAGCAACGACATGGGAATAAGGTCGATAGGTCACACAAATAAGGTCTAGGAGAGAGTCATGGAAGATAGACTTAAACAAGAGGTGGGCAACATGGTGGTTCAGTTGGTAGAGCTGTTGCTTCTTGGTCATAAGGTCAATGGATCAAATCCCGTCCAAAGTTATTTCTGGGTGGTGTTTGCATGTTCTCTACGTGCATGTGTGTTTTCTCCGGGTACTGCGGTTTCCTCCCTTAGACTATAAACATGTATGTTTGACTAACTGGCAACTCTAAATTGTCCCTAGGTGTCAGTGAGAGAATGAATGGTTGTTTGCCTCTATGTGGGCTTGCGACCTGTGCAGGGTGCACCCCACCTCTCACACAGAGACTGCTGGAAATGGGCACTGGTGACTCTCGCAGCCCAAAAAGGAAGAAGTGGGTAAAGATAGTGGATGGATGGATGGATGGATGGATGGATGATGGACTATTTGTTATCAGCATTATGGTTTCATGCCAAGAAAAAGCATGAAGATAGAGTCTTCAAAAGAAAGGAAGCTGTAAATCACATAAGTAATCTAAAAAAAAACACCCACTATTAACTGTAAATATTTAGAGCAAAGTAGAAATGACTGCTGACCTTTATGTTATTTGTAATTTTGCAAGTGAATAGTGATAGTGATATGGGGTTAACGTGTGTATATTGCTCTGCATATTTTAAGTGTTTCCAGACCTTTGGAGAACTTGATGGCAAGCTGTTCAGGTGAGTCAGGTGTGTTGGCATGGTGACAAATCTCAAGCACCCAAAATAATAAAACGCATGGACTAAGGTTGTTAATCATTGATTTAATAAATGTAAAGGTTGCTCATAAATGTTAAAGTTTTCAGTTTCTTTTGAATTTCTTAAGAAAGAAAGAACGAAAGAAAGACATCTCGAACTTTTGCAACAGGAGAGGTGGCACAACAAATCTAGCAAAGTGAAATATATATGCCCCAGTCTTTATTCTTTGCAAACATTTTGCTAACAGTAAATTTAAATAAATGTATGTTTCAGAAACAACATTAAGGTATTGAACTTCAGCATCCAATCTTTTGTAGAAACTTACTTGTGAATTAACAAGAGTTAAGATTATTTCAATATCAAAAGCTTTCAATAAAGATTGCACATGAAAAAATTGTGATGGCGAATCATGAATGACAAGAAGGTAACAAGCAGGTGACAAGAAGATAACATCATTTGATGATTTTAAAATTCTTTTGAGAATACCACCCTCTGAGGATGTGTCTGTTTGGACACAACAACAAGCTGATATTAATTGTCACCCAGTGATTGCTCTCAGGTTTTAGCTTCTGATCAGCATCAGAGGTAAGGCTCATGGAACTGACTGGGAAACCTTAACAGCACAATGTAGGCTTTACTTTGTTATAACTTTGTTCAAAAAAAAATAATACATTATGCAGTTTATATAATGTTGGACAAAGAAATGTGTGTATTACTGTCAGATCATGGGATAAAAAATATTTCATGATATTTAATTTTACTGTTGAAGAGTTTGGGTTTTGATTAATGATTAGCCTCATGCAAACCGAAGTGAAATGTCTTAGTAGTTATCTATACACTCCCATCAGTCCTATGGATTTATTATTCATCAATGTTATCAATATTTTTGATTCATTTAATCTATTTACTTTGTTATGAATTAGTAGAACAAATGTGTATTTTTAATTCTATAAACATTTGTATAGGCTGGATTTATTGTGTTAGATGAGATTCTAGTCAAAAGGAGACCACACAGGAATAACTATATTATTACGGATGTGTAGCTGATATTGTTAATGAATTTTAAAAACAACCATGGCTTATCATCTTCATTGTGATTTCATTTTATAGGGGGTTTTCATAATGGTGATCACGTTTAACGTGAGTGTCACAAAGGTGGAAAACTTTGTCATCCTCGGATTCCCTGGACTTTCTCCACAGTATCATGGACTTGTGTCAGCTGTCCTATTTTTCATCTACCTCACCATTGTAGTGGGAAATATTTCAATTTTAGCAATTGTGATTACTGAAGAGTCACTCCAGAAACCCACATATCTCATCTTTTGTCATCTGGCACTGAATGACTTAACATTTGGCACTGTTACACTCCCTAAGATCATATCAAAATATTGGTTTGGAGATAGCTTTATTTCATTTTCTGGATGTTTTACACAAATGTTCTTAATTCATTATTTGGGAGCAGTGATATCTTTTGTGCTATCAGTAATGGCTTTTGATAGATTTGTTGCAATATGTTTCCCACTTCGTTACCGTGTGCTGATCACAAACAACATCATATCTGTGCTCTGTGGATTGGCTTGGTTAATACCTGTGACTTTTCTGTTGGCAGTTTTATTACAAACCCTTAATTTACCTTTCTGCAGATCCAATGTCATTGAACAGTGCTTTTGTGACCACATATCTATAACAAGCCAAGCATGTGGAAATGATGTTAAAAATGTTCAAGTCACTACTCTTTGTCTGGCCATGTTCTCTCTGTTAGTGCCTCTTGCATTTATTTTATTTTCCTATATTTTTGTTATTGTGGTCATTATGAAACAGTCCAATGCTGCAGGTCGCAAAAGAGCCTTTTCAACTTGCTCTTCTCAAATATTCATAACATGTCTTTTCTATCTGCCCAGATGTTTTGTTTATGTGGCTAACACAGTTGGCTTTTCATTCAGTTCAGATCTTCGCATTTTTTTAATTATTTTGTACAGTCTACTTCCTGCTGCAACTAATCCAATCATATACTGTTTCAAGACTCAGGACATCAAGAAAACTTTAGTCAGGAAACTAAAAACTGCTAAAGTTGGAATAAAGTTGGAACTATGGACCTTGTAACTAAGAAGATATGTGTGCAGGAAGTCTAAATGTACTGAAGAAAATGTTCCTGCCAGAAAGAAATCATGAACACTAAAATTTAAATGACAAGAATAAATAGTAATTGTGCGTCACTTCAGCTTTAAGTTATTTTCTTCATTTATTACTCTTGTGTGTTGCAATAGAAATACTGTAATGTTTAACAATTATTAAAGTGGTCTCCAGCTGCAAGTACTTGGGTGTGCACCTGATCAAAAACCTCAGCTGGGGCAACAGCAATACCAGCCTGTTCAAGAAAGCTCATCAGAGACTCTACTTCCTCAGGCGGCTGAGGCAAACTGGTCTGGGAAGCTCAGTCCTCACCTCCCTCTACAGGTGTGCAGTGGAGATCCTGTGCTCCAGCATCAACGTGTGGCATGGAGGCTGCACAGCTGCAGAAAGAAAAGCTTTGCAGAGAGTGGTGAAGGCTGCACAGAAGTCTGTTGGAGACAGCCTCGCTACATTCTACACCTCCAGATGCAGGAAGGGGGCCACCTGCATCATGAAGGACCACACTCATCCAGCATGTATACTTTTTGCCCTGCTCCCCTTAGGCAGGAGGTTGAGGAGCATTAAGTACATAACCACTAGACTGAGGAACAGCTTCTGCCCTGAGGCAGACTCATGAATCTCTATCCAGGATAATCACTGTGAAAAATTGGAACAGGCTGCTGATTTATTTCATGCTGCTGTGTTCATTCATACTCATCTGCTCACACAGACTCATGTTCGTGCTGCTGTTCGGCATCTTGTTTTTATACTACTAATGCTTAATGTATTTTTAGTTAACATTTTTCTTAGTTCATATCTTAGATCTTATTACTGTTTTCCTTTTACATTTTATGCTTTTGTTGGATGTAACTGGGACCCCGTGTACACAATTTCATTCCACCACATGTACCACATGTGGTGTGTATGACAAATGAAGAACCTTGAATCCTTGAATCCATAAAAGTGAGGAAAAAAAACTAAAAAAAAAAAAAAACTAATATAACCTTACTTCAATAATCCATAGTGAAATTATTTGCTCCTTCATTTTCTATTTTTGCGTACTATGTATCACCCAAGTTTTTTTATGGCCCATGCAGAGCTTTAGAATTCAGTGCAGCTAGTGCTGATAATAATATAAAATTGTTGTCTAACAAACTATATCCATCCATCCATCCATCCATTATCTTATACTTGTTAGGAATTCAGGTTGCGAGACCAGCAGCTTCAACAGGGAGGCCAAGACATTTCTTTCCACAACCACCTCTTCCAGATCTTCTGGGAGGATTCCAATGTATTCCCAGACCAACCAAGAAACATAGTCTGGCATGCGTGTCCTGGGTCTTCCCCAAGGTCTCTTCCCAGCCGGACATACCCGAAGCACCTCCCTAGGGAGGTGCCATGGGAGCATACTTACTAGATGCCTGAACCACCTCAACTGGCTCCTCTGATGTGGAGGAGTAATGGTTCTACTTCAAGTCTCTTGCGGATAACTGAACTTTTCACCCTATCTTGAAGGGAGAGTCCAGCTACCCTGCGGAGGAAACTTGTTTCATCCGCCTTTATCCGAGATCTCATTCTTTCAGTCACTATCCAGAGTTCATTACCATAGGTGAGGGTAGGAACATAGACCGACCAGTAAACAGAGAGCTTTGCCTTACAACTCAGCCCCCTCTTCACCACAATGGACCGGTACAGAGTCTGCAATACTGAGGATACTGCACCAATCTGTTTGCAAATCTCATGTTCCATTCTCCCCTCACTCATGAACAAAACCCCAAGATACTTGAACTCCTCCACTTGAGGAAGAACCTCGCTCTCTAGCTCAAGAAAGCAATCCACCCTTTTCCGGTTGAGAACCATGGCCTCAGATTTGGAGGTGCTGATTCTCATCCCAGCTGCTTCACATTCGGCTGCAAACTGCTCCAGTGAGAGCTGAAGATGAAGGCATGATTATGCCAACAGGACCACATCATCTGCAAAAAGCAGAGATGGAATCCTGAGATCACAGAACTGGAATCCCTCCTCCCCATGGCTGCACCGAGAAATTCTGCACATAAAAGTTATGAACAGAAGTGGTGACAATGGGCAGCCCTGGCGGAGTCCAACTCCCACCCTGAAGGAGTCAGACTCAGTGAACCAAACTCTTGCACCGCTTGTATAAGGACCAAACAGCCCGTAACAACAGGCCCTCAATCCCATACTCTTGGAGCACCCCCTATAGTGTACCCCAAGGATCACGGTCAAATGCCTTCTCCAATTCTCCAAGTCCACAAAACACATGGACTGGATGGGCAAACTCCCATGACCCCTTGAGGACCCTAGTTAGGATAAAGAGCTGATCCAACGTTTCATGGCCAGGATGGATCCCACATTGTTCCTCCTGGATCTGAGGTTCAACGAACGATCGGACTCGTTTCTTCAGTACCCTTGAATTAACCTTATCAGGAAGGTTAAGGAGAGTGATGCCCCTATAATTGGAACACATCCTCCGTCTCCCTTTTAGAAAAGGGGAACCACCACCCCGGTCTGCCAATCGAATGGCACTGCCCCCGATGTCCATGTGACGTTGCAAAGACGTGTCAACCAAGACAGTCCCACAACATCCAGAGCCTTAAGGAAATCATTGTGAATTTCTTCCACTCCCGGAGCCCTGACACCTCAGAGCTTTTAAACTACCTTGGCGACCTCAGCCACAGTTATGGACAGATCAACTCCAAAATCCCCCGACTCAGCTTCCTTCATGGAAGACGTGCCGGTGGGATTGAGAAGGTCCGAGAAGTATTCCTTCCACCTCCCTATGACATCACTGGTTGAGATCAATATCACCCACCTTCACTGAAGACAGTGTTAGTAAAGCGCTGCTTTCCCCTCCTCAGCTACCTGATGGTTTGCCAGAATCTCCTAGGAGCCGACCGAGAGCCTCTATCCAAGGTCTCACAGAATTCATCCCACATCTGAGCTTTTGCCTCAGTAACAGCCAAGGCTGCGGACCGCTTGGCCTTCCGGTAGTCCTAAGCTACCTCCGGAGTCCCACTGGTCAACAAGGCCCAATAGGACTCCTCCTTCAGCTTGACAGACTCAGCTGGAGGAGTCCTCAGCTGGTGCACCTTCCAGCATTCCTGCCAAGGACTTCAAGAAGGCCAGATACCCTGAACTGCTGTTTGTTGCATAGGCACAAACAACAGTCAGAGCCCGTCCCCCACGTCCGAAGGAGAAAGGAAGCCACCCTCTCATCTACTGGGGAAAACTCCAACACACAGGCACCAAGTTGTGGGGCTACAAGTAGACCCACACCAGCTTAACACCTCTCACCATGGGAAACTCCAGAGTGGAATAAAGTCCAGCCCCACTCAAGGAAATTGGTTCCAGAGCCCATGCTGTGCATCGAGGTGAGCCCAACTATGTCTAGTCGGGACTTCTCAACCTCACGCACAAACTCAGGCTCATTCACCACCAGAGAGGTCACATTCCATGTCCCAAGAGCCAGCTTTGGTATGCCAGGGTCAGAGCACCAATGTCCCTGCTTTTGTCCACTGCCCATGGCATCATGCACCCGATTTTTGCAGCCCTTCCTGCAGGTGGTGGGTCCACAGGAAGGCAAACCCATGCTGCTCCTTCCGGCTGAGCCTGACCAGAACCCATGTTTACAGACCCGGTCACAAGGCACTCGCCCATGAGCCCCTCGCCTAGACCTGGCTCCAGGGTGGGGCCCTGGTAACCCAGGTGCGGGCAAGGGACACGGAGTTCCTTGTTTTTTTCCTGTCCATAAAAGTCTTCTTTGTTTCACATTGTTGAGTGTATCTTTCTGTTAAAAAGATAAGAAATGAATGAATGAATTAGTCTCATCTGTGAAAATGTGGCAGAGGTAAATGAGGAAAAAAAGATATACATCATTGTCAAACATATATTTAAAAATCAGTAACAGTTGTTTGCAATCAAATGTGCTTTTGGTGATTTTATTTTGTGTATTTTTTAAGACATGTTTTTTATTTGGGTGTTTAAGAATTGTTCTTTGAATTTAACAACTCAAAGCTACTTACTTATTACCTTGGTGGCTGCCATTTTCTACCTACAACTATCAACATAGTCGCAAATCAGTTTCAGTTGTTTGCTGTTAATTATGCTAACATGTGCCAGAATGTAATGTGGTGGATGGACTAATACAGCAATCAAATTTTACAAAACAGGTGCATCAAAATGGCCTAAAATTACAAAATTATGTGCCTTTGTAGGTTGGAATGGAAGAAATCCTGGTTTCAGTGGCAGGATCATCCTGCTTTGACAACCAGCTGCTGTAGCTGATGTTTAGTTTTAAATTTGCCTTCATGTAGTTTATAATGACAGACTAATGAAGGTCCAACAGCTTCATCACCATCGTAACAATTTGTAAACATTTGTAAATATAGGTATTATTTTATCAATCATAACACTTTGCCCCTGATAATATTAGGTGCTGTTCATAGAATGAGGGCTGACGATAATTCTGGTGTTGACGCCATGAGTCATGGCAACGCAGGTTCTTAGGACAATTGAAATTCATTTGGGAAGGACGCATGTAGTGGATCTATCTGCATACACAGAATGTAATAAATAAAATGTGAACCACAACATGAGACGGTACAGTGAGGTGTTGCAGTGCGTTTAGAGAAGCTGATGTTAGTTTCAAAGATGTAAAGAAACTCTTGCAATACTCTGCTGTGTCTCATGCTGTTAATTAGATTTTCTTTACACCCTAATAAGAGTGAGAAAGAGACATTTTGTCATAATTTTAATATCGTGTTAATACGTCTAATAATCAATCTACATTTGTTTCTTTAACAGTTGTCGTTTTGGGGATCCACATGTAATCATGTTGTACACTAATGTAACAAGGATAAAAGATTTCTTCATCCTTGGATTTCCTGGACTGCTACCACAGTATTATGGACCTGTCTCAGCTCTTCTTTTTGTGCTTTACTTGGTTATAGCTGCAGGAAACATTTTCATTTTAGTGTTTGTTAAAATTGAACATTCTCTTCACAAACCCTCATACCTTATTTTCTGCCACTTGGCATTAAGTGATTTATTGTTTGGGACTGTAACTTTGCCAAAAACAATATCCAAATACTGGTTTAATGACAGCATTATTTCATTTTACAGCTGTTTTGTACAAATGTACTTTGTTCACTTTTTAGGTGCAGCTCATTCTTTCATTCTGATGGTGATGGCTCTTGATCGGTTTATTGCAATTTGTGTTCCACTGCGTTACACGTCACTTTTCACAAATATCACAGTTAATGTGCTTTGTGGAATATCGTGGCTGCTACCAATGTCATGGATGATCGGTGTAATTTTTGATGTTTTAAGAGTACCATTTTGTAACTCAAACATAATTGCTCAGTGCTACTGTGACCATTTGTCAATAATAAACCTTGGATGTGAGAATGTGAGAGAGGTTACAATTGTGGCATTCAGTCTTGCTATGTTTAGTTTGCTCTTACCTCTAAGTTTCATTATTTTATCTTATTTTGTCATCATTGTTGCTGTTTTGAGAATTTCCTCCTCTGACAGTCGCATTAGGACTCTGTCCACCTGCTCACCACAGCTTATTATCACTTGTCTTTATTTTATGCCACGATGCTTTGTGTATTTGGCAAACTATGTGGGATACACTTTCAATATTTCAGTTCGAACTGTTGTGGTAATGCTGTACAGTCTTTTACCTGCTGCTGTCAACCCACTGATATACTGTTTAAAAACAAAAGACATCAAGGAAAATTTGAAATTGAAGCTATTGCAAAGAAAAAAAAATGTTAATCCTAAAACAAGCTAAAATTATTTAACTGTTTAAAAAAGAAAGACACCTAATCCCCAACTGCTCTCTTGACACTTAAATAGCTGCCTGCTGCTCCACTTAGGTGTACCTAACATGTGAGGGGTTGTGAAGAAAATTAGCTTTTATGCTCATTCTGTTTGTGATGTATAACTATGTCGTGATGAATTATAATGAGCTGTGCGTAAGACAGTTTGTGTGTGCAGATAGATATGCCAGCATCTCCAAATGAAACCATTAGTAGAGAACTGCACGTGCTTATATTTTCACTTCCACCTGAAAATACTGAGAAACCTGCCTTGTGATCTTTGAAAATATAAATGTGAGCTGTTGAAGGCGTTATTCAGACAACTCTGTGAGCAGCCTGTGTGCATTCTGTTGTTGACTTGTTTGCTCGCTGTGAGAATTAAAACTTATCTACTCAAATGAAGTCTCTGATCCTTAGATTTATGTGAAAAATTTCCGCATTATGTGCCAATTGCAGATCATAACTTTCTTCATTGAATGGGAACATATATTGATGACAATACATATCACATTTACATTAAGACTATAAAACGGGGAGGTTAATAACAGTCTGCAGCCTTGGCTGTTGCTGAGGCAAAGCTCAGATTTGGGAGGAGTTTGGTGAGACCTTGGAAAAAGACTCAGTCAGCTCCGAGGAGAATCTGGCATACCATCAGGCTGCTGAGGAGGGGAAAGCAGTGCTTTACTAACACTGTGTTCAGTGAAAGTGGCATGCTGTTGACCTCAACTAGTGAAGTCATCGGGAGGTTGAAGGAAAACTTCTTGGAACTTCTCACTCACACTGGCACATCTTCCATGAAGGAAGTGAAGTTGGGGGACTTTGGGGTTGATCTGTCCATAACTGTGGCTGAGGTCGCTGAGCTAGTTAAAAAGTTCCATGGCGACAAAGTTCCGGGGGTGCATGAGATTTTCCCTGATTTTCTTAAAGCTCTGGATGTTGTGGGGCTGTTTTGGTTGGCACACCTTTGCAACATTGTGTGGACATCAGGGGTAATGCCACTGGATTGGCAGATTGGGGTGGTTGTTCCCCTCTTCAAAAAGGGGGACCAGAGTGTGTACTCCAATTACAGGGGCATCACTCTCCTTAGCCTCCCTGATAAGGTCTATTCAGGGGTACTGGAGAAGTGAGTCCGATTGTTAGTCGAACCTCAGATCCAGGAGGAACAATGCTGGTTCTGTCCTGTCCGTGGAACACTGAACAAAATCTTTACCCTCAGTTGGGTCCTCAAGGGGTTGTGGGAGTTTGTCCATCCAGTCTACATGCATTTTCTGGACTTGGAGAAGGCATTTGACCATGTTCCTTGGGGCACAATATGGGGGTGCTCTGTTAGTATGGGATTGAGGGCCCATTGTTATGGGCTGTTCGGTCCCTATATAAGCAGTGCAAGAGTTGGTTCACATTGCTGGTAGTAAGTCTGACCCTACAGTGTGGGAGTTGGACTCCACCTATTGTCACCGATTCTATTCATAACTTTTAGGGACAGAATTTCTCGGTGCAGCCAGGGGGAGGGATTATGGTTTGGTTGCCTCTGGATTCAACGTCTGCTCTTTGCAGATGATGTGGTCCTGTTGGCATTATCATGCTGTGTTCTTCAGCTCTTACTGGAGCAGTTTGCAGTCGAATGTGAAGCAGCTGGGATGAGAATCAGCATCTTCAAATCTGAGGCCATGGTCCTCAACTGGAAAAGGGTGGATTGCTCTCTTCTTTTTCATTCACCCTTTATTTATATAGGTAGTCTCAATGAGCCACGAGAACTCAATTTCAAGAGAGACTTCTTTAGGGAGCAGATGGGGGTTAAGGGCCTTGCTCAAGGGCCCAGAGTGAGGCGAATGAGGGTGGGAGCAGGTGTGGGTGCTTCACCTACCCCACCCACATTTTATTGATGTTGTTGGTACTGGGGCTTGAACCGGTGAACTTCCGATCACAGGCCCACCTTCTCCAACCTCTGTGCCACCTCTCCCCAACCCTTCAGGTTGAGAGTGAGGTTCTGCCTCAAGTGGAGGAGTTCAAGTATCTCAAGGTTGGATAGGAGGGGTAAACTAAGTGTGATCTCACTGGATATTGTGTGGTCTAATGTGTCAGGAAAAAAATATACAGTGCAGAAAAAGCCTCTTGTATGATGTGGTGAGCCAATAAAGAAATAACAAATAAATAAAAACTGTATTCCTTTAATGACATTGAATCCCTGGGAGACTTTTTTTAGATTTGCTAGCCCTGTTTAAACGGGTCAGAACCGGGTTATAATCTCATTACAATCTGTATCTGAGCAGATCAAAAAGCCAGGGTCAGTCTAGACAAAATATCTCTATCAACAGACTTTGTAACGGTAAAATTGTGGTGAAGAGGGAGCTGAGCTGTAAGGCAAAGCTCTCTGTTTATCAGTCAGTCTACGTTCCTACCCTCACCTATGGTCATGTGCTCTGGGTAGTGACTAAAAGAATGAGATTGCAGATACAGGCTGTTGAAATGAGTTTCCTTCGCAGGGTAGCTGGACTCTCCCTTAGCGATAGGGTGAGAAGTTCAATTATCTGGGAGAGACTCAGAGTAGAACCGCTGCTCCTCCACATCGAGAGGAGCCAGTTGAGGTGGTTCGGGCATCTGGTAAGGATAACCCTGGGTGCCTCCTTAGGGAGGTGCTTCAGTCATGTCTGACTGGGAGGAGATCCAAGGGAAGACCCAGGCCCTGCTGGAGAGACTATGTCTCTCGGTTGGCCTGGGAACACCTCGGGCTCCCCCAAGAAGAGCTAGAAGAGGTGGCTGTGGAAAGAGATGTCTGGACCTCCCAGTTCGGATTGATGATGTAACTGACCTCAAGACCATCACTGTTCAGGCAAATCAGAAGCCATGGCTGACAGCAGAAGTCTACAGACTCCTGAGAGCCAGAAACACCACCTTCACAGCAGGAGATCAGGTGGGCCTGAGGGCAGCCAGAAACAACCTGTCCCGAGGCATCAGAAAGGCCAAGAAGCAGTATTCCAGGAAGATAGCTCATCGCTTCAGTGACAGCAAGGATACACGGAGTCTGTGGCGGGGAATACAGACCATCATGAACTACAAGCCAGCCCCACAAACCTGTGACAGCACAACCTCTACACTGAATGAGCTGAATGACTTCTTTGCTTGGTTTGAAGCATGTAACAGCACACCTGAACAGAAACTCTCCCCCTCTCCCAATGACAAGGTGCTGACGCTGTCCACCGACAGTGTAAGGCGATCATTCATCAAGATCAACGCCCGAAAAGCTTCTGGTCCTGACAACATACCTGGTCGTGTGCTGAAGGACTGTGCAGCAGAACTTGCAGCGGTCTTCACGGATATCTTTAACATCTCGCTGACCCTCCTGCTCCTGCCTCAATGACTATCGTCCGGTGGCACTCACCCCCATCCTGATGAAGTGCTTCGAACAGCTAGTCATGAAACACATAAACTCTGTCCCTCCTGCCTCCCTGGATCCCTTCCAGTTTGCATATCGGCCAAATCGTTCGACCGACGATGCCATCTCTGCCCTCCACACAGCCCTCACACATCTGGACACTAAGGACTTTTATGTTAGGATGCTGTTCATTGACTTCAGCTCAGCATTCAACACCATCATCCCCCAACAGCTCATCCTTAAACTGGACAGTCTGGGGCTGAACACCTCATTGTGTAACTGGCTGCTAGACTTCCCGACCGGGAGACCACAGGCAGTACGGGTCGGCAGTAACGCATCCAGCACCATCACAGTGAATACAGGGGTCCCCCAAGGTTGCGTGCTGAGCCCACTTCTATTCACCCTTCTGACACACGACTGCAAACCATCATACAGCTCCAACTACTTTGTCAAGTTTGCGGACGATACAACTGTGGTGGGTCTCATCAGCAACAATGACGAGACAGACTACAGGAACGAGGTGAGCTGCCTGGCCTTGTGGTGCGGACACAACAATCTCTCTCTGAACGTGGATAAGACAAAGGAGATTGTTGTGGACTTCAGGAAGATGCACGCCCAGCATGCTCCTCTGACCATAAATGGCATTACTGTGGAGAGAGTGAGCAGCGCCAAGTTTCTGGGAGCGCACGTCTCAGAGGACCTGTCCTGGAGCAGGAACACTGCATCACTGACCAAGAAGGCTCACCAGTGCCTCTACTTTCTCCACAAGCTGAAAAGAGCTGGAGCTCCAACCCCCATCATGTGCACCTTCTACAGGGGTGCCATAGAGAGTGTCCTGACCAGCTGCATCACAGTGTGGTTTGGTGCATGTACTGCATCTTGCCGCAAGACACTCCAACGCATCGTGAGAGCAGCCGAGAAGATCGGCACCTCCTTCCCCTCACTACATGACTTACACAGTACCCGCCTCACTCGGAAAGCCCTCTGCATGGCAGGTGATCCCACACACCCACTACACAGCTTCTTCAGCCTGCTGCCATCAGGGAGGAGACTGCAGTCTCCAGGCTCGAACTAGCAGACTGAGAGACAGCTCTGTTCATCAATTCAATTCAGTTTATTTAAATAGCACCAAATCACAACAAAGTTGTCTCAGGGCACTTTACAGAAACATTCACATACATAAAAGCCAATTAGTAGTTCTCTATCTAAGGAATCCAGCAGACAAGATGAATCTTGGCTTCGATGCAGTCTCCCATCCTGAGCAAGCACAGTGGCAACAGTGGAAAGGAAAAACTCCCTTTTAAAAGGAAGAAACCTCCAGCAGAACCAGGCTCAGGACAAGCGGCCATCTGCTTTGACCAGCTGGTTGAGAGGACAGGAAGGAGAGACAGATGAACACAGAGTGGTAGGTCCAGGTATAAGTCCAGATGTATCTGAAAGACAAAAAAAACACATGTTAAGGATAGAAAAAAATAATTACAAATACAAAACAGGTTGAGCAGAGTAAGTAAAGACAGAAGTAGAGTGAAAATTGTGGTCAGCTTGTCCTCCAGCAGTCTAAGCCTATAGCAGCATAACTAAGGGACAGCTCAGGAAACCCAAGCCGTCCCTAACTATAGGATTTAGCAAAAAGGAAAGTCTTAAGCCTAGTTTTAAAACTGGATAATGTGTCAGCCTCACGGACAGAGATTGGCAGTTGGTTCCACAAGAGAGGAGCCTGATAACTAAAAGATCTGCCTCCCATTCTGTTTTTGTAAATTCTAGGAACCACAAGTAAACCTGCAGTCTGAGAGCGAAGCGCTCAGTTAGGAAAATATGGAACAATCAGATCTGTAATATAAGATGGAGCCAGGTTGTTGAGAGCTTTGTAGGTTAGAAGTAAGATTTTGAAATCTATACTGGATTTGAAAGGGAGCCAATGGAGAGAAACTAAAACTGGAGAAATGGGAATTGGATCAACTGAAGACGTTTTAAAGAAGTATTTGGACATCCAGATAATAAACCATTGCAATAGTCCAGTCTAGACGGGACAAATGCATGGACCAGTTTTTCCTGCATAATTTTTAGATAAGATGTTTCTAATTTTAGTGATATTACGCATATGGAAGAAGGCAGTTCTAGTAACGTTTTTAATGTGGGGGATAAAAGACATGTCCTGATCAAAAATAACACCAAGATTTTTAACATTAGAGCTGGAGGACAGATTAATGCCATCTAAGGATGGAGAAAGACTGAAAAATCCATTCCTAAGGTGCTCAGGTCCAAAAACCAAAACCTCAGTTTTGTCTGTGTTCAACAGGAGAAAATTAAGAGTCATCCAGGTTTTTATGTCTTTAAGACATGCTTGTAGTCTAAGTAGCTTATATGATTCATTGGGTTTAATGGACAAATATAATTGTGTGTCATCAGCATAACAATGGAAATTTATCCCATGCTGTTTAATAACTTTACCTAATGGAAGCATATATAAAGTAAAGAGTATTGCCCCAAGCACTGAGCCCTGAGGAACCCCATGACTAACTTTGGTGTATGAAGAGGATTTATTATTTACACTTACAAACTGGAATCTATCAGATAGATATGATTTAAACCGTTTTAGAGCCGTTCATGATATCCCAATATCATATTCAAGCCTCTGTAGTAAAATATTGTGATCAACTGTATCAAATGCAGCACTGAGGGAAGTCAGGATGCTGAACTCTCTGCCTGTTCTGCCTCCCCTCCCTCTTGTACCACCTTAACACACAAAACTCTCACACATTTCCACACAACACAAAAACATTAAACACTGAACTCTGCATCATTAAAAAACAGGTTATACACTCAACACATGCTCATGTGCTCATTCAGTTTGCAGTACTGTTTACATTTGTATTACTGTTAATATTCAAACTACTGTTCATATTCATACTACTGTTTATATTCAAACTACTGTTCATATTCATACTACTGTTCATATTCATACCACTGTTCATATTCATACTACTGTTTACATTCACACTGCTGTTTACATTTGCACTACTGATTATATTCACACTGCTGCTTATATTACACAACCGCTGATATATAAATATATTTTTTTACTAGTCTTATTGCATATGTCACTTTACCTACACCAATATTAAGGACTTCATACATACACTGTGTACATTCACTTCATATGCTGCTTTGCCACTCATTACAAATATCAATGTCAGGACCTTCATTTCATTTCATTTTATTTTATAGATATACTTTTTTAAAATATTTTTATACCGCTATAGTACAATTTAAGACAGTATCATGCTTGTATTACTTCATTTTATGCTTATGTTAAATAAATGTTTTTAATGTTAAATGGTTATTGTTGCACCGGGGTCTGAGGGAAATGTAATTTCAATCCTGTGTATGTCCTGTACATATTGCAGCTTTTGACAATAAAGTGACTTTGACTTTGACTAATGTGCAGTATTTTTACAAATTACTTAAACTGTGTAGCACACTCCAGGAAAATCATGAGCTTCAGTAACAGCAGGAGAGACTAATACAAAGTAGCAAAAACAACATAATGATTATTTGATGCTTGACTACTTCTCTCTACCCAGTCTTCCCCTGAACTCATGCAGTTTTAATTTATTTATTTTTTTATATTAGCAAAGTAAATCTAAAAGCATGACATGAACTTGTAGACCTCTGGGAAAGCTACTCTTTTGGGATGCTTCTGTTTACATAAACTGAAAAAACACACGATTCTAAACACATATAAAGTGACAGCACAGTGAGGTGTTGTATGCTTGTGAATGCTGATTAAAATCCCACAGCACCAAGATAGAAAGCAACAATTTGTGTTTCATGTTTTGATGCTTTTATGTGTGCATTAAATGCATCATTAGTGGTAGGTATAAAGTTTACATGCTTTAAAATGTGTATATTTTGATGAGTTGTTACATCAACTTTTATAATTTTCCATTTATTCTTGTAATTAGGATTTCCAGTGATAATGTTGTACACTAATGTTACATGGATAAAAGATTTCTTCATCCTTGGATTTCCTGGACTTTTGCCAGAGTATTATGGACCTGTCTCAGCTCTTCTTTTTGTGCTTTACTTGGCTATAGCTGCAGGAAATATTTTCATTTTAGTGTTTGTTAGATCTGAACGGTCTCTTCACAAACCAACGTATGATATTTTCTGCCACTTGGCGTTAAGTGATTTATTGTTTGGGACTGTAACTTTACCAAAAACAATATCCAAATACTGGTTTAATGACAGCATTATTTCATTTTACAGCTGTTTTGCACAGATGTTCTTTGTTCACTTTTTAGGTGCAGCTCATTCTTTCATTCTGATGGTGATGGCTCTTGATCGGTTTATTGCAATTTGTGCTCCACTGCGTTACATGTCACTTTTCACAAGTAACACGGTTTCTGTGCTCTGTGGAATATCGTGGTGTATGCCAGTATCATTTATGTTTGCTATAGTTTTTGATGCTTTAAAACTTCCATATTGTAACTCAAATATAATTGTTCATTGCTACTGTGACCATTTGTCAATAATAAACCTCGGATGTGAAAATGTAAGGAATTCTACACTTCTAGGATTGGGGCTTTCCATGTTTAGTTTGTTGTTGCCTCTGGGTTTTATCATTATATCTTATTGTTTTATTATTGTTGCTGTTTTGCGAATTTCCTCCTCTGACAGTCGCATTAGGACACTGTCCACCTGCACACCGCAGCTTATTGTCACAGGTATTTACTATTTGCCCCGATGTTTTGTGTACCTGGCGAACTTTGTAGGTTTTACTTTCAGTGTTTCAGTTCGAATTGTTGTTGTAATGTTATACAGTCTTTTACCTGCTGCTGTTAATCCTCTAATATATTGTTTAAAAACCAAAGATATTAAAGAACACTTGAGGCTAAGGCTATACACAAAAATTGATAATACCACACATTCTGGTTAAAAATATTATGTCGATGTAGAAACATATTAGTGGCACAATGTGTCAAATTTGAGAACATTAAATAGACTTGTATGCATCATCCCAGTTATATGTGGTGTGTTTGAGCACAGTTGTAATTTTTCTTAATGGGCCTTTGCTCTTGACAGTGAACAAATTAATATTCACACCTTGGAATTGTCCTCAGATTGTATTTTTCTATTTTGTTTTACCAGTTTTTCTGGTTTTGTGTTAGAGCAAACTATTATATTGTTTTATTAAAAAATTTAAAAAAAGTTCCGGCAGGACTTTTTTATATCTATCATGTCATTTGTTTTAAAATCAAAACATTTATTTTATTTCTTGACTTTTTTATTATTATTTATTTTACTCTTTTCTTATGTGACTATTTAAAAATGTGCACACAATGAAGTAATAAAACTATTAATTTAAAATCAAGATGAATAGATTAGTTTGAATTGTTCACGCATTGTTCTTTGTGACATCAACATTTCATGAAAATTTCATAAAAACCTGTTCAGGATGTTTTGAGTAATCTTGTTTACAAACAGATAGACAGACCGACCAACACTACCAAAATCATAGCCTCCTTGACGGAGGTAAAAATATTAAAATGACACACTTGTAAAGGGTTCAATGTCAGTGAGAACAAATGTGTTTTAAAAGAGATTTAAAAACATGATTTGAAGGGGAGCTGTCTAATTTTGAGGGGAAGATTGTTCTAAAGTTTAGGAGCCATGACAGAAAAAGCCCAATCTCCTCAGAGCTTCAACCTAGATTTTGGGACATTAAAAAGCAGGCTATCACAGCAGAAGCAAAACAACATATGGCTGAAGTCTGAAATATGAAGGTGCAAGGCCATTTAGGAATTTATAGGTTAGGAGGAGAGTTTTATAATGTTTTCTGTGATGCACTGGGAGTCAGATTGAGGACAGGAATAGTAAAATGTGTTCATGCCTATGAGTTTATGTTAAGAGATGTGCAGCAACATTTTGGACAAGATGAAAATGTGAAAGGGAGACCTGACTAATCCCAGCATAAGTGTGTTACCATAGTCTAGTCAGGTTGTGTTGAAGGCTCTAATTATTTTCTCTAGGTCAGGTCTAGTTAACACCGACTTCAGTTTTGCAATATGTCTTAACTGGAAGAAGCTTTCTTGCAGAACAGAGTTAATATGCGTATGTAACTTAAACTCAGAGTAAATGATTCCCCAATTTGTAACAGACTGTGTCAGATATGGCTCAAAAGAACTCAACTCATTCTTCACCACAAATGACCAAAGCAACGCCCTCACTAATAAGGACAAGGTTCCGCTCTGTTGAGCCATCTCCCACACCATTGTATCATCATCCGTGAACAAATTGTCCAGAAAATTAAACACCTACACCTAAGACAAAGTCTCCGCCAGCTCCTGCTTTGGTTATACTGGGACTGGACAGTCCTTTATAGCATTACAGTCACCTAAAACTAATGCAGACTGAAGAGTCAAACTCCCATGATACCCTTATCAATTCTGCAAAGGTGAAGATCTGGTCCACTGTTCCACAACCAGGATAGAAACCACATTGCTCCTCCTGAAATAAGGTTTGACAAATGATTGGCACCTCCTTCTCGGGCTTTGAAATCAACAGAACAGCTGCTTTTGGTGGTACCAAAAACCAGGTTGAAGCTCAGAGGAGGTCGGGCCGCTGAGCTTCAACCTAGTTTTTGGACTTCATCAAGCACTGCTGAAGTCTTTCAGATGAAAGATGAAACATTTCTTCCAAAAAGAATGTGTCCAGATGACATGATTTAACTTTTTTGTTATTTATTTACCTGTATGATTGGGCATACTTACTTTATTTTTTTTACTACAAACAATAAAACATGAGTTAATGTGTCACAGAAAGGTCTTACATAAAGGTAACGCCTCACTGGACTCAAAGTTGGGGATTAGTTGGCAACTCCAAACTTCAGAAAAAATAGTAACTAAACTCTTAGTGTATGCAAACAATGACTAATGATCTGTGTAAATACATTTTGAATGACCAATTTTTGAAAACCACTGCCTAATAATATATTTTTGGCCTTGCGCATTAATTAGTTTCCCTCCTCTGCCCACATTATGATCATCGTAATTCACTTTGTGCCCACCTTACCAGCTGCCCACTCATTTATAAGTTAAGCTGATGGAAAACACTTAAAATGAAGATGGGTAAATTTGGTCAAATTATTAAAAATTATAATTTATCATCTGTGCAGTTTTCAAATCAGATTATTTGCCTTGGACATTTTCTGCCACAGGAAAGGAGAACTTGTGTCAAAATACAACTCTAGTGCTATATACAGGTTGAAGATGCAAGAAAAGAAAAAGAAGAAATGTATACTGAAACTCCACTCATACACATTGCTAATGTGTTTTGTGTTTTACTTTTACTGCACTGTCAAACCATCGAGCTGTGACAGTCAGATCCATCTACCTATGCCATCTGCCATGTCTTCGTTCCAACCAACAGGAGTCAGTCAAACTCACCACTGGAGATATCAATTCAACGGTCTGCTTGCGTGTGGATTTGCATTTTTGTATTAAATGCTTGTGCACTTAGCAAATGTGTTTTTGCTGTTTACAATTGAACTAAAATTGTTTATTTGGATGAAAGACAGAACTCTACAACGTCTCGCTGTGAAGGAGGGACTGCTTCTGGGTAAGTTGCAGCAAAAATAAAAGCACTAACAAAAATACATGTAGGGCTGATTCTTTTTTTTTTTTTACATGAGAGTTTTCAAAATATAAAGAAGATAATTATTTGTACAAACGGAAATGTGATCAAATGCATGAACGACCAAAAGAATCATTAAGCGCCCAGGCAGAGTGATGGAACTGTATGAAAATACACAAGACGTGTTGAACCATTAACCGTTACATTATCGTATCAAATAGACAATGGAGGATGGCACGGTGGCTCAGTTGGTAGGGCTGTTTCCTCTCAGTGAGAAGGTTGCTGGATCAAATCCCAGCCCAGGGCTTTGCAGAGTGGAGTTTGCATGTTTTCTCTGTCCATGCATCGTGCATCTGTTTCAGGAGGTGTATGACGTGCATTACACAGTCAGTGAAGTAGTATTGTGTCAACAGGGTCTGCTGAAAAACGACCTGAACTCCCTTACAATGATACTGTAACTGTGGTGTACTTCTTCATAATCTGGGCAAAATTGGACCTCTCCTCTTGCCCTTACGTTAGACCAGCGGTCCCTAAACTGTTTTTTTTGTTGGGTTCCCTTCCTTTGGAGAAACACAACTGTCTATGGATATCCTGAAGCATGCTCAACAATCCAGGTCGAAAAATCTAAAAAAGTTAAGTCAGGGCCTCTGTCTATGGATCTTTTTAAAAAAAACAAAATGAGCTACTGTACCTCAGTTTAGTAATCCTCAATTAAAATCCTTGATTTTTAATATAACAGACCTCCCCGTGTTCCAGACTTACACTCTGGTAAAGAGGAATTCAGTTCAGTTTATTTCTATAGCACCGTCACAAGAGAAGTCATCTCAGGGCACTGAACAGAAACATTCATATAAAAATAACAATTTGACATTATTTATCTGAGGAGCAGACTGCTTTGAGTTTAACTCCATCACAGAACTCTCATCTTGCATGAAGGCGACAGTGGAAAGGAAAAACTCCCTCATGAGGAGGAAACCTTTAGCAGAACCAGGCTCAGGACAAGCGGCCGTCTGCTTCGACCGGCTGGATTTGGGAGGAACAGGAAACAATGACAGGTCAAGAATCACATGTTAAGATAGAAATAGTATTAAATGAAAACTATTCTATTTTAGCAATTAATTTAAGGAAATGAACAAGTATAAAATGAACATTCAGCCATGTTGAGCCCCAACTGGCGTGGCACCCCCTAAAAATCACAACATTCACAGACAAACAGATGGAGGTATTTCCATGCCCCACTTTTCACATCGCAATGGAGGACTAAAACCCAGAGTAATGCTTGGCCTACTTTTACTATACTTGGTCCCCATCTTAACTCATGCTTTTTTTTTTTGTTCCTTAAGTATTAGCCAAGTAGTTATTGAACTGAACAGAAAATGTAAACCAGCAAAACTCTTTAGGGAAAGTTGTCCATATGGGATCCTTCTGTTTATATGAACTGAAATAACACACGAGATGCTAAGCACATATAAAGTGACAGAACAGTGAGGTGATGCAGTATGCTTGTGAAAGTTGATGTCATTTTTAGAGCTCCTGCAGAGATTACACTGTTACTTATTTGTGTTTCATAATTTATTTGATTTTGTACAAGCAGTTGATGCATCAGTAGCAATCGGTGCAGTTTACATTTATATAGTTTTTAAAAATCCCAGTTGTCACTTAAACTCAAATTATAATTTGCTGTAAAACTGTATAATTCTGTTTAATTGTTTTTCTATTTGAGATTTTGGGTGATAATGTACACTAATGTAACAAGGATAAAAGATTTCTTCATCCTTGGATTTCCTGGACTGTTACCACAGTATTATGGACCTGTCTCAGCTCTTCTTTTTGTGCTTTACTTGGCTATAGCTGCAGGAAATATTTTCATTTTAGTGTTTGTTAGATCTGAACCGTCTCTTCACAAACCAACGTATGATATTTTCTGCCACTTGGCGTTAAGTGATTTATTGTTTGGGACTTTAACTTTACCAAAGATTATATCTAAATACTGGTTTTATGACAGCATTATTTCATTTTACAGCTGTTTTGCACAGATGTTCTTTGTTCACTTTTTAGGTGCAGCTCATTCTTTCATTCTGATGGTGATGGCTCTTGATCGGTTTATTGCAATTTGTGTTCCACTGCGTTACATGTCACTTTTCACAAGTAACACGGTTTCTGTGCTCTGTGGAATATCGTGGTGTATGCCAGTATCATTTATGTTTGCTATAGTTTTTGATGCTTTAAAACTTCCATATTGTAACTCAAATATTATTGTTCAGTGCTTCTGTGACCATATGTCAATAATAAGCCTCGGATGTG